CATGGATTTTTGCCAGTACTCCAAAAGCCCTGGTCTAAAGCTAAAACTAAAGAAAACTTCCTTCCGTACCTTCGGGGAGACCGTCCTGGATCCGCCTATAAGCATGGCTCTGCAGCTAAAATGTTTAAATACTTTGACCACTGCTACATCACCTGTTGGTCACTTTGTTAGTGATAACATTCGTTTTTGTTCTCTGTGTAATTGCCAGCTTAGCAATTCTCGCAGCGGAAACATTTTGCAAGGCTTTAACCGATTTGAAATTTTTTTTTTTTTTTCACCCACGACATCCCGTCAGCTACCTGACTGACTATGATTTTTGGGGATGTATTTTATGAAGAAATGAGTTTTTGTCATTGACTGATTTTAGAGTGTTTGATCTCGTATTTTTAATTTTTGTCCAGTCCGCATTTTTTAAATGAATGATTGGTAATAGGCAATTTTTCATTTCACTCCATAAAAAAACGTGCAATAATCATGCATGCTGGAGGTTAAGATTTAATGCGGCCGCATGATGCAACACTGCCGTCCCAGCCAGCGCCATTTTCTCCTGCATGCAGCAGAGGTCATAGCACTGCCAGCTGAATGCACGAGTTAAACTTTAAAGCAGCAACCATTCGTACTGTTATCGATCTGATTGCTCCAAGTCTAGCTCAAAAACTCATGATCGCATTGGCAAATCTGTTTCGTTATTAACTGAAGACAATTTTGCACCTCTTTGCTAGCGATTTTTTGCAATTTTGAGCATCATATTTGTTTCAGAGCATTAGCGGCGTCTACGCTGAAGGTCAAAGAATGCGCAGATGCATGCGCGCTGAAAGATAGACAGTTGCAGCAACTCCAGAATCTGTGTCGCACTTTGAAATCTCAAATTCCCAGCAGTCAGTAATGTATAAAATACTCATAATACTTTCAAACTATTATTCGTGTGGCTTTCATTGCTATCCTATCATTGTTATCCAGCTCAGAAATTCACTGTATTTGTGGTCAAAGACGGGAAAGTTCATGCTTAAGCTAAAAAAATTGCG